GGTTTAGCTGGTTGAGATTTTTCTTCGTCGGTCTTTGTTCCGGAGCCTGAGACTTCTTCGGCTGGAAAAAAGCCTTCAGTAGGAAAATCACCATAGAAAGATTCGTCGAGAATCGTATCGGATTGGCGCTTTTTAGTTTTTCCTTTTGATGGTGGAGAGACTTCTTCATTGGAAGAGGAAGAAGGAATAGGATCAGCCTCAATGGTTTCTTCAACATTTTCAGAAGAGTCTGATTGATCTGAAAGAGCATAAATATGCTCATCCTCAGATGTATTTTCTTCATCAGAGGAGCTGGAGTCGGCGTTTGGTGTGTAACCAAAGTGCGTAAGTAGATTCTCATTTTGGAGTGAGATCTGACGCATTCGCGTGATGATATGGGCGCTTTCGTCGAACGTGAGTTGTGGGGTGACGTATAGAGCTTGTAGGCAGTTGAGCTGATCTATGATGCTGTCATAATCTTCGCGTTTGTACGTAGAAGAAGAAGGGGTGGAAAAAACCTTAAGAGTTTCGACCTTGTCTTCATGTCCATAAAACAAAGGTTTCACTTTGTACCGGATAGAGTGGGTAGGTGTGTTACCAGTGGGTTCAACTGGTGGAGACTGAGTATCGGAGGGAAGCGCAGAGTCCTTTGCTGGAGGATCCGGTGGATCTGGAGGATATAGATCAGACATTTTAGCTTTTTAAAGTTTGGCTAAATCGATAGTCATTTGATTAAGTTGTTCCTGAAGGGCTGCATCAGGAGTAGAGGAAAGAGTGAAAATCTAGGTAAGAGTTTCGAGTTTGTCATTTAAGGAGATTATGCCTTGTTGGACATCGTCAAAAGAGGAAGCCATATGGGTGTTGGTTGCCTCTAAATTGTGTTGGAAATCGATTTTCCAATCGGTAACCATGTCGACAAGAAAGTTGAGTCCTGCCCCGACTTGGGTAAAAGAACTAGGTTCTGTTAAAGTAAAATGGGAGATATGGCGATAATTATCGTTATGCTGGCCGGTAAGATTTCGAATACAGTTTACAGAGCTATTTTGTGCCATGAGAATAGTGTTTCTGATATCGAGAGAACTGTCGTGGTGCCTAAAACCAAAGGGTCCTGCAAGCAGCTTTAGAGATGTCTCAAAAGTTCAACAGACACAGACATAAAAGCATAAACAGGATAATCTGGGCTTTTAACAGTAATCAAAACATAAGAGCACTATAACTTAACCACAAAAATAGAAATGAAAACTTTATTAGAACTTACAGTGGTCCAGAATCGTGATAGGCTCTGATACCAATTACAAAAGCATGCGAAAAACACAAATTTTTACAAGGGGTACAAACTTGAGAAACAAAACAGAGAAGGAAAAACAGATGCCAAAACCATTGTTAGGTTTGGGTTTAAATAACATTACAAAAGGTAAACAGTTTGAGAGAAGATAAGAGAGAATCTTTTCTTTTACTGTTTGAAAAAGAGTGTCGGCAACTTTCACTGTTGATGAATAGTGTGTCGGCAACTTTCGGCTACTTTAGCTTTTGGGAAAAGGAGACTAAGACATGTCTTCTGTCGTGTGCTGGATCAGGGTTGCAGTCGATTGGAGAAGAGTGTCGGTTATCCTTCCATAGCATTGATGATATTATGGAGTTCATATTCATCAAGTGGAGGGGTACTGGCAGGCGACTGTGCATCAGCAATATCCCATTCAAGATTAAGACGTTCAGCACCATCTTTAACCCTAAAGGGGATATCAAGGGGGGTTAATCTGACGATATCTTTTAAGAACTCAGTCGCAGTCCGGATCTGGTGTTCACCATCCATCTCGGTCCCATAGTAACAATACCTTTGATACACTCTATAATGGTAAACATGTTCTTAAACTAGACTTCTTTATCATTCCAGGCCTCGATTGGTCTATGGATCCTGTTGACTGGGGATTAGTTAATAAACTTACTTTTTCCTCTCATGATTCTTATCAGACGTTTCCGGCTATGATAAAATCTATGATTTACAAAGTCAGTCAACACTGGCAATACAGTCGTCACCTAACGTTCTGGATTTCCAGTTCCATTGGGAGTTACGAAAAAACTCGTTTCTTTCAACCCTATCAGATATGGTATCTCAAGCTCACCGACAATGATGAATATGAGCATAGCAAACTTTTAAACTCTGAGGAACTCGCCAACAGTATTGATCCTTACTACTTTGAAATCCACAGTTTCTTACACCTACAAGACACTGCCTGACGAGTCCTTGATGGTTCCTATTACAGACAGGAGCCCATCTTTTATTGTTGTGATGGACGCAGACTCTTCATCACTACAATTCGTTGTTACTATGGGACCGAGATGGATGGTGAACACCAGATCCGGACTGCGACTGAGTTCTTAAAAGATATCGTCAGATTAACCCCCCTTGATATCCCCTTTAGGGTTAAAGATGGTGCTGAACGTCTTAATCTTGAATGGGATATTGCTGATGCACAGTCGCCTGCCAGTACCCCTCCACTTGATGAATATGAACTCCATAATATCATCAATGCTATGGAAGGATAACCGACACTCTTCTCCAATCGACTGCAACCCTGATCCAGCACACGACAGAAGACATGTCTTAGTCTCCTTTTCCCAAAAGCTAAAGTAGCCGAAAGTTGCCGACACACTATTCATCAACAGTGAAAGTTGCCGACACTCTTTTTCAAACAGTAAAAGAAAAGATTCTCAACAAGGTCAACGCCAAAAAGATGCCCTTTTAAATAACTTCGATAAGCTCGATGGCGTTTTAAGAGGTTTTGTCAAAATCCTTAAAGAAGAATTGGTAGGCCACACAGGGGAACAACTTCTCACTGATGATGCAACATGTGCTCTTTCAAAAATCGAATTATGCAACATATGCCAATTTCCAGAATACGTCAAATTATTTACTAAATATTTTAGACGCCTCCCACCTAATGCGATTGAACATTGGTTACCCCAATTCTTTCACAAACTCCCAAATCCTTGGGATGAACTTGCTGCCAAAGGCTATCCAGACTTTCTTGTTCGGATTCAAAAACCTGATAACATCGGTTTTCGTACAAATTTTGTCTATCGTCTCATCAACGAAAAATGTCTTGAGACCAAAGCCAAAAAACAGGTAAAAAACCAGATCAATGGCACTGCTGAAGGACAACGCTGCTGCGACAAGATTCTCCAAGAAACCTGGAAAATCGGTTGTGCTCCATATAAGGCTACCCCTGCGAAACGCCACAAACAACGTAAAACTTTTCGTTGGAAACAATGGAAAGGACGGCGCCCTAAAGCCTCCAAGAAGTATGTTACACAAACTCCTTCTCAAAAACCATTCAAGGGCAAAAAGACCAAAGGATCCAAGAAATCCTCCAAAGCCTCCAAATCCATTGAAACCAAAAAGGACTGTAAATGCTACATTTGTAATGAAGCTGGTCATTACGCCAATGCCTGCCCCCAAAAGGGCAAAAAAGCTTCAAAAATGGTAAAACACTTACAGACAGATAACCTCTGTGTCGTTTATGGTAGCGATATCACCGATCCCTCTACCATTTTGTATGAGCTCTCCAGTACAATTTACACTAGCGACTCGTCTAGTATTACCCAAAATTCTACGGATAACGATTCCTCAGATATAGAACAAATCTGTATTGGAAGACCAGGATCATAGAAATTGTTAATTTCTGTAATATCTGGGGTTTGTGAAAACATTTTGTGAGAGGCTTGGCCCACATTATAGAAAACGGTTTGGGCTTCTATAAGTGTGTCATAAGCTTTAAAGCAAGAACCGTGGAAGGAGCGAAGCTGCTTGTGACAGTCGGTCCAATTCTCATAAATGCCAGGTTGGTGGCCTGCAAAAAATTCAGACAACATCTGAGTTCCCTTACTGCCCTTATAGCTGAACAGTCAGCTATGACAACTGAGCTCAAACAGCTCTGCATACAAAGTTGTCTTTCTATTGACTGGGAAAAAGATTTTTCACTCTCTCAAATAAATTGTTTTCTTAAGCTCGCCCAGTTAATAGGAGAACAAGATTTTCCTAACAATACGTTTGCCAAAATCAACCGTATTTGTCTTCTGGAAAAAGCCAGAGATATGTTTCCACCCGATATCTTTCGGTTCATTTATCGACAGATTGAAAATCATTATGCTATAATAAAAACCTATTATACCACTTACCATGAGGATATCAATACCTTTGATACACTCTATAATGGTAAACATGTTCTTAAACTAGACTTCTTTATCATTCCAGGCCTCGATTGGTCTATGGATCCTGTTGACTGGGGATTAGTTAATAAACTTACTTTTTCCTCTCATGATTCTTATCAGACGTTTCCGGCTATGATAAAATCTATGATTTACAAAGTCAGTCAACACTGGCAATACAGTCGTCACCTAACGTTCTAGATTTCCAGTTCCATTGGGAGTTACGAAAAAACTCGTTTCTTTCAACCCTATCAGATATGGTATCTCAAGCTCACCGACAATGATGAATATGAGCATAGCAAACTTTTAAACTCTGAGGAACTCGCCAACAGTATTGATCCTTACTACTTTGAAATCCACAGTTTCTTACACCTACAAGACACTGCCTGACGAGTCCTTGATGGTTCCTATTACAGACAGGAGCCCATCTTTTATTGTTGTGATGGACGCAGACTCTTCATCACTACAATTCGTTGTTACTATGGGACCGAGATGGATGGTGAACACCAGATCCGGACTGCGACTGAGTTCTTAAAAGATATCGTCAGATTAACCCCCCTTGATATCCCCTTTAGGGTTAAAGATGGTGCTGAACGTCTTAATCTTGAATGGGATATTGCTGATGCACAGTCGCCTGCCAGTACCCCTCCACTTGATGAATATGAACTCCATAATATCATCAATGCTATGGAAGGATAACCGACACTCTTCTCCAATCGACTGCAATCCTGATCCAGCACACGACAGAAGACATGTCTTAGTCTCCTTTTCCCAAAAGCTAAAGTAGCCGAAAGTTACCGACACACTATTCATCAACAGTGAAAGTTGCCGACACTCTTTTTTAGTTTTTCGGAAAGATAGAGCAGATGTTTTTTATGCTCATCTCTGGTTTTAGAGAAAACTAAAATATCATCTATATAAACTACCACAAAATCTTTAAGATCATTAAAGATAGAGTCCATCCAGCGCTGATAGATCTGAGGTGCTGTGTTCAGACCAAAAGGCATAACAGTCCATTGGTAGTGACCGTGAGGAGTACTGAAAGCCGTAAGTGGTTTAGACTTTTTTCGTAGTTTGATCTGCCAAAAACCGGCTTTACAATCAAACTTACTGAAGATAGTGGATCCGCGAGTTTGATTAAGGAGAACATCTTTGCGTGGGATAAAATATCCATCAAAGATGAGATGTTCATTAAGCCGTTTATAGTTGATTACCATGCGGGCTTTTCCTCGTTTGAGTTCACTATGGTTTCTTACCATAAAGGCAGGGCTACTATGTGGACTTCGAGTACGCTCTATGAGTTTTTTCTCAAGGAGATCTTGAAGTTGTGCATCAAATTCATCGATGTCACGGCGCAGATAGATCATGGGTTTAACCCGAATGATGACATTGCGATTTTTGAGTTGTAGTCTACAAAACCGAGGACTTCTTTTCCACAGGGTAAGTGGATTTTCAGCGAAGTTTTGTCTGAGGGAGTTATAGAGCCAATGAGTGTCTTGTAGCACTAAGGCGTCAGAGTCTCTTTTAGGTGGAGAAAATTTTTCATTACAAACAGAAGCTAAGTTTTCTTGGATTGGAATTTCAACAACTGTTTGGTCTTTCTGGGTTAACGAAATGGTTTTTTCGTTAAGTTGTAAAGGAAGATAACTGTAAATAAAGTTACATCCTAGAATGAAATCACCATGCATATATGGGAAACATAGAATCTTTGGAATAATGAATTTTTTATCATTAAGCCAAATTGCCACGTCTTTGGCCTTAAACTGAATCACATTTAAAGGTGCTTCGGCATCAATGCCTTGAACCCCAATGGGATGCTTCATTTGCTGCCATTTTTCGGATGGCAAAGCATTATAGTGGCAACAACTGGTAGTTGCACCGGTATCTATTAAAACACAGAGGCTATAAGGTTTATAGCCTTTGAAGTTAAGAATGCCGTTAACATAAGTATACTTCCGTTTTTTGCCTTGCGACGGAGCAATCAGAAATTCGTCTTTTCCGGTGCGGAAATGGAAGAACTTGGCAGAGTTTAACTGATGAGTTGATCCAGGCAAGAAAGGAGCATTTTGCGAGGTCATAGGGGTTTTACCTTTTTCTGTCCAGGTGAATCGTCGGCGAGGAGGTAGCTCGACTGACTTTCGTGGGGGAAGGATTTTGTCCCATCCAGGATTTCGTTCAGATACAGAGCGCTGTAGCTGGGGTTGTTTTGCTTTATTTGTAATATAAAGATTAGCTCCAGAAGCTTGTATTGTGGCGACAGTGGGTTCTGATCTATGATGCTGTCATAATCTTCGCGTTTGTACGTAGAAGAAGAAGGGGTGGAAAAAACCTTAAGAGTTTCGACCTTGTCTTCATGTCCATAAAACAAAGGTTTCACTTTGTACCGGATAGAGTGGGTAGGTGTGTTACCAGTGGGTTCAACTGGTGGAGACTGAGTATCGGAAGGAAGCGCAGAGTCCTTTGCTGGAGGATCCGGTGGATCTGGAGGATATAGATCAGACATTTTAGCTTTTTGAAGGTTGGCTAAATCGATAATTCTTTGATTAAGTTGTTCCTGAAGGGCTGCATCAGGAGTAGAGGAAAGAGTGAAAATCTGGGTAAGAGTTTCGAGTTTGTCATTTAAGGAGATTATGCCTTGTTGGACATCGTCAAAAGAGGAAGCCATATGGGTGTTGGTTGCCTCTAAATTGTGTTGGAAATCGATTTTCCAATCGGTAACCATGTCGACAAGAAAGTTGAGTCCTGCCCCGACTTGGGTAAAAGAACTAGGTTCTGTTAAAGTAAAATGGGAGATATGGCGATAATTATCGTTATGCTGGCCGGTAAGATTTCGAATACAGTTTACAGAGCTATTTTGTGCCATGAGAATAGTGTTTCTGATATCGAGAGAACTGTCGTGGTGCCTAAAACCAAAGGGTCCTGCAAGCAGCTTTAGAGATGTCTCAAAAGTTCAACAGACACAGACATAAAAGCATAAACAGGATAATCTGGGCTTTTAACAGTAATCAAAACATAAGAGCACTATAACTTAACCACAAAAATAGAAATGAAAACTTTATTAGAACTTACAGTGGTCCAGAATCGTGATAGGCTCTGATACCAATTACAAAAGCATGCGAAAAACACAAATTTTTACAAGGGGTACAAACTTGAGAAACAAAACAGAGAAGGAAAAACAGATGCCAAAACCATTGTTAGGTTTGGGTTTAAATAACATTACAAAAGGTAAACGACACAGAGGTTGGAATTGAATGCGAAATCAAATAGTGGAAGACTTGGACATCATAGCTCGGATTTCTGCCAAGACAAGGCAAATTTGGAGCTACTAACCCCCAGTCAACCTACCCAACACGCGAACTTTATAGGGCTAATTTGGAGCTACTAACCCCCACGCAGTCTACCCAACGCGCGAACTTTTGACTTACAGGACTCTTGTCCACGTACTAGAGCCAATCCCTAGCCATCACAGCTTAACAATGTCCCAAGCAACTCTAAAATAAATAAGTTAACAACTTATATACATATTAAACAGTACACGAAACTACCTTCATGCACAAGTAGGTTGTAACCACACAACACATGCTCTAAATCCACAACAACTATAGGATGACAATGTCGAATCTTCAGAGCGCGATTCGTTACGCGCTATAATAATATCACATGTCGAATCTTCAGAGCGCGATTCGTTACGCTCTATAACAATATAATCCAATATTGAAACATAACTCATAAATCCATTATAAGTCAAAAGTCATGCTTTAAACATACTATCAATGTCAAATACATGAGTTAATCTATAATACAATATAAACGGAATTTAATCAATAAACTAATTAAATTCCCTAAGTTTCAAATCTCAATCAAATGGCCTCCAATTAATACATAATAAACAATATAGCATGATCATTACATACACCAAATCAAAACACGATTTAAGCCATAAGAACAATAAAGTGGAATTTAATTAAATCATGATAATCAAATCCCTAACTTCTAAAACAACATCAAATGGTTCCAAATGGTTCCAGAATACGTCATAGTTATCACAAATATCAAGTTAAACACTTAATTAGGCCAATGGAACCCTTAATTAGATTTTGATTAATCATTTTAATTAAAATCTCTAGATTATCATACTTGTCCAAATGCTCTCAAAGTAAAGTGTGTTAAACAACATGCCAAGACATGATTTAAAAGCATATCACAAGTCAATTTCATGCAAGGTACGGCCATGGGATTTAATCTTTCACAAAAGATAAATATTAAATAAAATATGCAATTTTTATTCAATCAATACCAATTTAATATATGTTAATAAACATATTAATACATAATTTTCTAGCATGACACAATTCAAATCAAAGTTATATATCATTATGAATTTTAAATCTTATACAAAGAAATAAAAATTACTAACTTTCTAAATTTGATACAAGGCATACATATAAGTTGTATAATTATGAGAAACACTCAATACAACACATATAAAATCCTAAAACATTTCCTACCTCAATTTGAGATGAAAATCTCAAAACCACCAAATGGAAACTGCTCTGAATCCGACGAAACTTCTAGGTTTTGTCAGGGACTACACCGTGCACATAAACCCCATGGAAGCCCCATCAAAATCACAACTTGACTTCAAACCCAAACTCAAAGAATGGTCAGAAATGGGTTCTAATAAGGGTGAAAGAAGCGCGTAGTCAACACGAACACTAAACGCAAAAGCCCTTCTATGTTCTGACGAAGGAATGAAGCTCAAAAGAGGAGAGAGAAGATAGCAGCCTCCCTTGGGCTGCCATGGAAGCTTCAGGTCGTGCAAGAGAGTGGGAAAGATGAAAAAATTTAATATCTCACCCCCCTTTTATAGAAATCTCAAAAAGTGCCTTGAACGGGCCCCGCCGGGTCTGAAAAAGTGAAATTTGAGCAGACGCGCTCAAATGACAAAACTCTATGAACAAAAAAGATTCAAAATGAGAAAATATGAATAACGGAAGAAACTGCATCAAAAACTGACTCCCGAGCAGAAAGTTATGCCCCAAACAAGTTTGGCGCTAACCGGAGCCAAAAACCCTGATACTGGAAAACAACGACCAGAAGGAATTTCTAAGAGTACACGACTAGATGAAAAGTGAAAATGAATCCCGTACAACGATCCAGGCTCAAAACAAGGCATTTAGCAATAACTTTCATTAATTGCACAATGGCCCCTCCAAAAAGTGAAAACTGCACTAATGGCCCAGAATGAAAATATCTTCCAAAAATATTTTCTTAAAAACCCCTAAAATAAAATATCTTCAAAATATATTTACGAAAAACACCCTAAGAAAAGAAAATAATTTCAAAGAACTTTGCATCCATGCCCCTATGGATACCGGGAGCAACCAGAGTACTTTCTTGCAAAAGTAAAGATACGTATTTCGTGGAAACCACTCAAGATGGAGATACATGAAGTCAAAAACCAACTTCGAACACAAGAAGTGTGGTTACGCCAACAAAGTGTCAAACGGGGAAAAGACAAAATAGGGAAAAGGACGAAATAGGGAAAATGACGAAAAGTCAATAGTGTCGAAAAACGAAAAATGTGGAAACGACTCGGTCCTCAAAGGAAGTTGTCAATCCACAGAAAAGAGTCTCAGAAATCACTCCAGAGCACTCGAGAAGACACTAAGCGAAGAGGAACTGAACTCAGAAAGGAAAGACAACGGAAAAAAAATATCCGTGAAAATCCGGGTTATTACAACCTTTCCACCTTAAAGGGATTTCGTCCCCAAAATCCAGCCCCAACCAAAACAAAAAGGCGAAACGAGGATAACTACGGAGTACATCTCCGAGTATCCCACACAACGCGATACAAAAGCAATCCCAAAGCTGAAAGACAACGCACAAACCAATGTCATTCGCACCCACGTACTAATGACAGGACAACCTCTCAAAAGGAAGGTGACTAAATGGCCACCGAATAAGTCAGAACTCACACACAGAACCCAAGGTGAGACAAAAGAACAGAAGATAACAACCGTAAACATCCCTCTAGATGAACCATCATACCGATCCAACAACGACCACCAAAAGATCTCCAAGATAACCACGTATCATATCAGGGTACTGAACAAGATGATGCGGCAGTACGAATAGCGACCCGAACCCGCCCACGACGTACTCAAATGTGTGGTAGCAATGACAGTGCCTAGATCTCGCCCACACTTACTCGTCAGTAAGGTAGCATCGACGGCAACTAGTACTCGCCCACAACACACAACTTTGTACGATAGCATGGCAGTATAAGGCACTAATTCATAACCTACCCCCCACTAGGTCTACCCAAGAAACCTCTCGATACAAATGACATCAATGTCAAAAATGATCATTACCAAAAGCACTACGGGGACTAACATTTTGTACCAGAGTTGAGATATGGTCCAAAGATGTCCAGTCGGACCATCCTGGCCAATTCCAAAACTCTGACAACAATGCTATAGGTACCGCTATGCTTAAGGCCTTAAATCCTCAATACAACAAAACCAACATCTCCAATGTCTCAAAATACCTCTATTAACAACATTAATCAGGAATCTAAAATCTGACAGATAAATCAACCCCACCATGAATCAAAACGAACCTCAATACAAGACATTTCATCGAAAGTCCCACATATCTCCCTGAAATAGATCAACTACAAAACTACACCGAAATCAAACATCAGATCCACATCCCTATCACGGATAACTAAATCCTCAAAATACAAATCCACCAAGTGGCACACACATCAAAATGCCAACAACTAAGGTCACAAGATGAATCTCTCAAAACCATGCTTGGCAATACCAACCTAAATCAAAATTCCTCAATTTCTATCGATCCATAAACAACCACTAGAACTACGATTCCTCAAAACCATGCCTAGTTATAACTAGGACAAGAAACTCCACAACAAGCCATATCCAACAGCGATCCTCCAAAACTACTCCTAAAAGTTAACCACATCTAGACCTCCAAAACGGAAACAAGTCTCTAAAAGACATTCTCAAAAGAGTATCGAGCTCACCTCACAATCAAATAAATCCTCAATGATATG